AACAATAATAATAATAATAATAATAATAAATTACACTTTTATTGTCCCGGAAGGGCACTTTGGTTTACAATGGCAAACATACGATTTACATACATAAATAGATAATTATAAATACGTACATACATAAATACATCATTAATAAATACATAAATACACAATATTACACAAATACAGAACTGTTTACAACTATGCAACTGTCGGTCGCCATAGTGCAGTGCCCTGTATTTTGAACTAGGGTTGTCGTGTCTTGCTCAAGGACACACCCCAGTGGCCACCCATCTGATCCCCGTGACACCGACACTTGCTTGACATTACTTGAGTCTGAACTCACTACCCCCTTAGCCATTCATATAACATATATGAGATACCCCTTTGCACTTGCAGCAGAGCCAAGAAGAAACACTGGTTTGTCCAGTAAGATCAGTGAGAATATTATTATGTTTAATGGCACACCGAGAACCCACCATTAACATTTTACACACTCATGGTGATCTTGCGTAAAGAGGCTAAATATACACAATACGGCTCGCTTAGGTGAAATATGACAAACGGGTCAAGCATTTTTTTAAGGTTTATGATTTTCACTTTCTCGTTATTTATGCGAATTATAGAATTCCTTAAACAGATGCAACGTAAGCTACAGGCAAAATATCTGAAACGCTAATCATTTGATATTCGTTCATCAGTTTATACAAGCCCTACTCTGACCAATTCTTCAGGGAAAAAAAGAGAACAAACACACTTATGGGATCACGTTCGATGTCTTTATCATTGTGCTCATGTGAATTGGACCATCAGACAATGCATTCTGAAGCGACGTATTCTTTGGGATACGGGAATATTTGAGAACAGAAAATAACATATTTTAGAATAAATACGTCTGTGGAGTGCTCACCATGAAGAATAACAACGCATCTAGAGACCTGTCTATGGATGTTCTGCCTGAACTCTTCGACCCCGTCAAAGCTATGGAGGAGATGCGGGTGTTCTGCACCGCCTACTTCGCAGAGAACCCGCCCTATAAGGGTAAGTCTTGTTGCTTTTAGATCAGTATAATCAATGAGCAAAAACCACATACTTGAAGATATTCATATTTCTTTTCATTGTTTGTTTATTTGTTTGTTTCTGTATTTTTGTCGTCTGTCTTTATTCGTGTATTCCTTTCTGTATTTCTGAATTTCAGTCTGCATTTTTTTCTTTATGTATTTCTGTTTGTATCTTCCTTTCTGAATTTACTCGTATCTTATCTGATAGAGAGTCGGGAGGGTGAGCGGTCTATTGTTGATCTTACTCCTCCCCTCTCTCAAAATAATGTATCTTTTATTCTTTAATTAATTAATTGAATGATTTATTGATTGATTGATTTATTGATTTATGAATTTATCTATTTATTTATTTATCCATTTAATTTACTAAACCAGTATTGTATGATCTTAATTAATTACAAATGTTTCTGTTTCCACGAATAATATTCTTTTCCAAATTTCATAAGGAGGATGTTGTAGAGGTCTCATTCGTCCGTCTTACGTCTGTCCTATGCCTGGATCATACCTGTTTGTAACTATTTCAGTCTCTACGCTAATCCTCCAAATGAAGATTTATACAATGAAAGATCGCTATAAAATGTTGTGTCTGTCCATGACCAATGTAATATCAGCGTAAGCGGAGCAGAAGAAACAAGAGTTTTTAGTGGGTTTTCCCCCAAAGAGGACGGTAATCCATCCACAAGAGATAAATGAGGCAGAGATTTCTTTACGCCTCATCAGTTTCTGCAGTATCCGTCCCGCTTATCAGAGGGCACCACGTTGAGAAAAGGTCAGGAACAGAATACTACACTTTGATTTGAGCCAGAAGGCCGAAAAGAATCAACAGTTACAAGGACATGTGGCTTCTGCTATGGCCAGTGAGAATTTCTCCTGCAGAGAAGAGCTTGCCACATATAGAGCATATAAACGATTCATTTACACTCGTGGAGGGGCTGTGGATGGTTCCTGTAGCGACGTGAGAGCACTTACCGATGCTCCTAATTACATTAAGCGGTGCAGTGTGGGAACTCGGAGCAACCTCTGTTGGGTCAATGTGTTTAGGGTCATTAATAATTCGGAAAGAGGCTTCCCAATTACTCCTTCGGTTTCTTCTACTTTTAGTCTGTCCCAAGGTTAACTATGTTCCTACCTCTCCATTTGCCAATTTCTTCCATCAGTCAAATAAATAGGGAAATAGTTTATCTAGCCTGTCTCATATTACCTACTTACTATGCACTTTCTTTCTAAATTTTACTGCTGTCGTCTGAAACTTAGTGATTGATTAGATTAGAATTAGGGGACAGAGCAGTACATCCGGACAGAACTGGAATCTCGGTCGTGTTGGCAGTTTTAATATTAAAGTACCAGATAGAAGCAATGTTCGCGTGACATTATGACCTGGTAAGCGGACACTATAACATTTTCCAGGACACACCCATACACACACCAGTTTGCCGTCACTACTGGGAGTGGGCTGAATTATTAACGAATGCAACGCTTAGCGAATCCGCACTTTTAAGGACACGGATTTTGCCAATTTTAATTGAGATCAATACGACACCCAGTGATATTGAAGGGAATATCGCGTGACTTTTTTTATCTCGCGGAGTGTCAAAATCAGGCTAATTCAATTGGGTTCGTTCTGAATCAATTCCGAGCTAAGAGGCTGAAGTCGACGAAAACACTAGGAGTATGTAGTGCAGTGGTTAGGCGCTTCGCCGTAGTACGTAGAGATCCGAGTTCGGATCTGGATTGGGGATAATTTTTATTGAGCTTCTCGGTTCTTCTGCTGGGATGTTGTATCTTTCTCAGTCCAGGTTGGCCCTCAAAGGCAGGGTCGAAGCCTGACACTTTTAATTATTGATCAAAATTGTGTGTATGTGGACGTAAAAACGATAAGAAATATTCGAGGCATTGTGGAAGAGAAGACTGTAGCTGTAAAGTAAAAAATGAATGGCATACATTTTAGAACATGTATGAAGGTGTAATGTTTTACGAAGAAAAAAGGAACCCTTTTAAAATCAATTTCTTTCTAGCAAGTTTGGTTCGTGTTTATGTATGGCTTTTCTGGCCAATTCTTCGAATAAAACCTCAGATACATGAACTGGTCAAACTGAACTTCCGAACTAAATATATACACCAATAACCACAATGTTTGCTCCATAGGCCCTCTTAGCTACACTGACGGCTGAAGCACGCAGAGATTGCTTGGCCTATCACAGTACTGGACTGTACTTTCTGTTCTTCTTGCTGCGTAATTTATTTATGAACAGCAAGACAAGTAAAATCTAAGCTTCTATGACTACCATTGTCTGAGTTGCTTACTTTACTTTACTTTTACTTTTATCAGCCGCTTATACCCATTTGGGTGTCGCGGGAAGAAAGAGACGTCTCTTTGCCAAAAGATGGAGAGCTTGGGTCAGGGGGATGCCATGAGTTGTTAATGTTTCCCTGACTCCATCTATCCAGGTCTTTCTCGGTCGCCCTCTTGCCTTGTTGCCATCGAATTTTTTTTGTAGGCACGTTGTGATGGGTAATGTATTGGTAATCGCATGAGATGTCCGAATCATTTGATTCTTTGTTGTTGGATGTGATGCTTGACATCATTTGGGCCCACCATTTCTCTGATTACTGTGTTTCTAATTTTGTCTCGCCTGGTCTTGTTTACTGTTTTACTAAGGCATCGCATTCCACATGTTGTAATTCTTTGCTCCAATGTCTTGTCCGTGGTCCATCTTTGGCATTAATAGGTGAGTTCTTTTTTTAATAGTAGAGGGTTTTACGGTGCTCGCAACTGCATAAGGTCATATGAGCGCCAAGTGATAGGCGAGTGTTCGGATGAATATATGATGTTCATCCTTTTGAGTTTTGTTGTCATGGGGATGTTAGGATGTTTCAGTAGTGGAGTAAGCTGATAACTAACATTATAGGCATTTTGTACTCGTGTTCCAATTTCTCTGTTCAGTCGCCCATCCTCTGTGAATATACTTCTGAGGTACTTAAATTCTTGGACCTGTCTGGGACTGTTGTTGTTGATGTGTATCCTGAGTTGCACTGTCACTAAAAGGATTTTTTTTCTCCGAAATTGTGCCTAACTGACCAGAGATTTGGTAGGTCCGGTCATTATCGGACGAAAACAGAACGAAGTCACAGCAAGGGTAGAGAAAAAAGTGAAAAAAGAATAACACCTGGAAAATAATAAGACAACCCTTACACTTTCTTTGTTTCCAAATTACATATTGATCTTTTCTCTATTTTGGAGCATATCAAAGAAGTGATCTGAAGGGATGGGAGAAATACTGGGGCAATATACTTTCATTATGTCTACCACCAAAGAAAAGCTAAGCTGAATCACGCACACTTCTTTAAGATCAACTTTAAAGACCCAAAATGCGATACACAGTAAGTATGGAGAAGAGAATCAGATGCCATTGTCTTCCCCAGAGAAGAAAAATGACCAGCGTACGAGCCCCCCCCCCCTCTTCACTTAGACCAGTTCGCCTTTCCCTACTAGGTGAAAAGGCTGATCTGATGTATTTATGCTCCCATCACCCCCCTCCCCCGCCCCTCCCCGGTCTTCGAACTCACTAAAGCTGTGTAAAATAACATCTTTCTCATCGACAGTGCTTTAAAAAAAAAGTCGTGACAAGGGGAAGATAAAAAACACCAAAATAACAACGTTAAAACCATGGCTTTTTGGCGAATAATAATACTTATTATAACAGTAATAATAATAATGATAATAATAATATTACTAATACTGATAATTATAATAATAGTAATAATAGTAACAATAATGATAATAATGATAATAATAATAATAATAATAATAATAATAATAATAATAATAATAATAATAATAATAATAATAATAGTAATAATAATAATTAAAAAAATTATTTAAAAAATGATGATGATGATGATGATGATGATGATGATGATGATGATGATGATAATTTCAGAGAAATATATTGT